CCAAAGGGCGGGATATAAATAAATTTTATTATTATTATTATTATTAAGCGGGATAGGATCTCTCTGCGTGAAATCAGTCGGGACCCATTTATAATAGCTCCCTTTATTCGGGGGAAGGAGAAGCTATTGTTAATGTGAGAGGCAGGCCTCGGAAATGTCAGAAACCCGCCATTGTGGGAGGAAGGCGGGATATAAATCTTTGGAAATCAATAAACCTTTTGAAAGAAAACTACGTGGAAGCGCATTTGTTTCAGATCCCGAGTGGAAGTCAGAGTGGGGAAATGGAGAGGAGTAAACCATGAGCCTTAGTGGTTTGAGTGCTGGGCTACGACTCTGGAGACCAGGGTTTGGTTCCCAGCTCAGCCCCGAAACCCCCTGGGTGACCTTGGGCAAGTCACACGCTCTCAGCCTCAGAGGAAGGCAATGGCAAACCTCCTCTGAACAACTCTTGCCAAGAAGGCCCCATGCTATGTATGGCCTTTGGATCGGTAATGACTTGAAGGCACACAACAACAACAACAACAACAATAAGGCAAGGTGGCCAAAAGAGGACAAGGCACGGCAAAATGTAGGACTGTAAAAACAAAATGTAGGATACTACCAAATAAGAGCTAAAAACACTCATATAAATATAAATAGCGTTTTGGTGGTTTGTAGTTTGAGCATTGAGTTACGATTCTGGAGACCAGGGTTCGATTCCCAGCTGAGCCATGAAGCCCACTAGGTGACCTTGGGCAAGTCACATTCTCTCAGCCTCAGGAGAAGGCAATGGCAAGTCCCTCTGAATAAATCTTGCCAAGAAAACCCCATGATAAAGGCCTTAGGGTCGCCTTTAAGTAGGAAAGCAAGTTGAAGTCACACAACAACAACAACAACAACAACAAAATATCAAGCCTGGAAGGCCAGTGTCTTCGGTGAGATCGAGGATGATGGGAGAGTCTTGTTAAATTGGAACACGGGACCGACCTGTAACAATAGTTCCCTTCCACGGTCACGAGTGGGTTGTCACCACACAACGAAGGAGTAGATATTTGGAGCAAAGAGATGTCGCCTCTAACTGTGTGTGTGTGTGTGTATGTTAGGGGGAGGGGGTGTCCACCCGGAAATTCTTGGACTACAGACCCCATCAGCCGCAGCCAACCTAGCAGCTGGGGGTAATGGGGTTTGTAGTCCGATATATCCAGGTTGTCTTGGTGGCCCATACCCCTAATCCCTTCTGCAAACGAAACAAGGAAGCAAAGAGAGACATGCAAGAAAGGGGGGGGGGGAGGAAGAAACAGCCAGATTTTGTCCAAAATTGCTTATTTATATAATGAAATGTAAGCATTTTTTGCCTGATTATTTTCTTTTTAAAGCCTACCTCTTCAGCCCATAAACCGGGGAGATTTTATTTCCACTCTAATTGTCTTTTATCTCTCCCCCCCCCCCCCCCCCCCCGTTTCTGGTTGGCCTAATAAAGGCATCATCACCAATGTGTATTTTCAGCGGCTTTACTGTAAATGCTTCTGTTTTCAGAAGAAAAGGATCTTCCTGGGCATGCGTTTGTATGTGTGTGTGTGTGTGTGTGTTCCGAAACGTTTCGCCTTGAACCCCTGGAAGTGGTTTTGAGTCACTTTGACCCAAATGGTCCCCCATCTTCCTCACCCCACTTGGGCTTGTCGTCCCGCGTGTATTGCGCACCCTTCACATCAAGCGGATTGAATTACAATAGCCGAATGGGTCAGACTTAAGAGGCCGTCTAACATACCTATGTATTCGTTTCAGGCGTGAAAAAAAAAAATCTGGTCCATTATTTTTAAGTGTGTTGTGTGTGGTGGTGGTGGGATGGCCTATTTTCTTTTGTTTTTTAATCTTCTAATTGCACCAGAATTCAAAGATATAGCCGTGTTAGTCCGTAGAATCAGTATGTTCTAGCACGTCTGAGACTAAAATTGTACCAGGAATTTGTTGTTGTTGTTGTTGTTGTTGTTGCATGCCTTCAAGTCATTCTCGACTTATGGCGACCCTATCATGGGATTTTCTTGGCAACTTTTGTTCAGAGGAGCTTTGCCATTGCCTTCCCCTGAGGCTGAGAGGGTGTGACTTGCCCAAGGTCACCCAATGGGTTTACATGGCCGAGCTAGGATTCGAGTCCAATGCTCAAACCACTACACCATGTAAGACACTGGTATAAACAACTCCATGAAACCCCAACTTAACCAAAAGCTGTTCTCCCCTTTTCTCTTTCTAACTGAAGCTCTTTGCAGACTGCCAGAAATAGTGCAAATTGAGTCTACTTTTAGGGTTAGAGTTAGGGAATCATGGGAACTGTATTTTATTGTGGCACCAGAGCTCTCTGACAGAGCAGGCTCAATGTCTCAGAGGGGGAAAAACAATTCCCATGTTTCCCTAGCACTAACCCTAACCCTTAAAGTGGACTCAGTTTGCACTATTTCTGGCAGTCTGCAAAGGTCCTCAGCTTTCTTTCTTTTTCTTTCAATTTTCCTTTCCAATTTTGCCCTACTTCCAATACCCCTTTAGACCTCCCCTTCCCCGGGGGAAAAAAAAAAGTCCAGATTTGTCCAGATGCTGTCTGAACAAGGACAACGACAAGGGCGTTGCTGGAAGGAGAGGAACCGAAGTGGGACTCCTGGACTAGTGAGACTGCGAGGAAAATTGGGATGAACTGGGGACTCAACAAGAGAGCAAGCAGACAGAGAAAGGGGTCTAAGCCCCGACGGTACTCACACTTGATCCAAAAGACGTGGGTACTAGTCCCAAGACAAGGCGAAGAGGGAATGGGAAGGAAACTGACCCTTTGGGGCCCAAAAACCTGACCTTGGAATAAAGCCCCATTGATCACACACAGTAAATGCGTGGGTGTGGGTGGGTGTTGTGTGCCTTCAAGTCGTTTCCGACTTATGGCGACCCTAAGGAAAACCTGTCATGGGGTTTTCTTGGCCAGATTTGTTCAGAGGCGGTTCACCATTGCCTTCCCCTGAGGTTGAGAGTGCGTGACTTGCCCAAGGCCACCCAGTAGCTTTCATGGCCGAGCTGGGAATCGAACCCAGGTCTCCAGAGTCAAAGTCCAGCATGCACACCGCTATGCCATGCTGGCTCTATTTGATATATCTAAATATATACTTTTGTGTACAGCCAGACACTCACACAGACGGGATTGACTGGTCGGAGGCGACCTCAGCATTCCCCAAAAAGGCCAAAGTGTTCTGTTTCTCGACCCCCTCCTTCCTTTCTCCTTTCCAAAGCCAACCTAAGTCTGAAACATATAGGACCGTCGCCTCCTACCGGGACCCTGGATGTATTTACCTGCAAGTAAGGCCTATTCAATTCCCTAGAACTTTTGACAAAATAATAATAATAATAATAATAATAATAATAATAATAATAATAATAATAATGACAAATTCCCAGCAAGAAACTTTTTTAGGAGCCTGTTTTCTTTTCTCATCCCATACCTTGTTCGTTTCTCATTGCCCCCTAAACCCATTTCCCAGATAGTTTCCTCAAGGCTGAACAGATCCAAAGAGCAAAGATGTTTTTACACCATACAAAGGAAAAGGGGCCCGATTGTCGCCCCGCAGGCCCTGGTCCCTTCCCCCGGCCACCATCCTGTCCGAAAGGTGTTATTTGGAAGTCAAGCCCTAAAAGGAATCTCCTTGGGAATTAATTGACATCCATCCACCAAGAGAGATCAGGATACGCAATGCCTTCCATGGAAAATAAAGAGCCCGGAGGAAGATGTCGGAGAAAAAATAATCCGGGTGCAAGGTGTGTCCCCCAACAACCTCTCCCCCTTTCCCAATCTCTCTCTCTCTCTCTTTCTCTCTCTTTTTCCCTCCCCTTCCCCTCCCATCGGGGACTTATTAGGCAAGAAGGTCTACCAGGGGAATCACAGACTCTTTCAGACTTTCTAGGAACCCTTAAGCCCTCGGGGTCACGAGGAATGGAATTGGAGGAAGGGAGGGGGGGGAAGAGAGAGAAATGTTTGGGAAGAAAAAGAAGCAGGAGAAAGAAAGAAGGAGGAAAAGGAGGAGGAAAGACAGACCCTAAGCCAAACCCAAGGGCACCCCTTCGTTTGCTTTGGGACCCAAATGTGTGTTTTAAAAAAAACAACAAAACAACTTACAGGATCCGGAAAGGATTTTCAAAGGCAGAAAGACTTGTGTTGTTGTGGGGTTTTTTTTGCTCAGCTCTGGCGAAGAGGAGGAAGAGCGGAGGGCTCGGGCTCTGCGATCCTTCCTCCAATCTTTCTCTTCTTTTTCTTTTTTTCCTTCTCCTCCTCCTCTTGTCTGTCTGTCTCTCTAGGTCTGTCAGTCTCTTTTTTCGCCTTCTTCGGCTCCAGCGGCGCTGAGGTTCAGCAGCTTCCTTGCAAAAGCCTTCCTCTCTTCTCTTTCTCTTTCTCTCTCTCTTTCTCTTTCTCTCTCTCGCTCATTCTCTCTCTTTTTCTTATCCGGGGGCTCTCTTCTCTGCATTAGCCAATTCCATTGACAGTTTTCAGCCAGCAGCTGCAGTCATTAAAAGGCATTTACACCCTGGCCTCCTTCGCACAAAGATAGAGCGCCAACAATTATCTGCTTGTACGTTTAAGGACATGAGAATGTGTCCCTAACAGGCTTAGGAGAAGGGGGAGATGCGGGGGTGCAGTCCCCCTGCCAGGCAAAGCCCCCAGCCGGCCGGCCGGCCTGCCCACCGGTCTCCCCTCCACTCCCACACCCCCCTACGCCCCCCCACAACAATGCCCCATAGGTTGTTTGTTTGTTTGTTTGTTTGTTTACTAAATGCCCAGGACGGGGCCACCTCCCCAGAAAGCTGCCTGCAGGGATGGCTGAAATGGCCAAGCCTCCTCCGAGAAAGTAACCCTCTGCAAGGCTCTGCAAGAAAGGCAGAGAAGAGATCTGCTCGGCCTAAGGAGCCTGTATTATTGGGGAGGGGGGAGCCCAAGGGCAAAGGGAATTCGCCTTTCTTGTGGAAAGAACTACCAGCTTGGCTACAGCTTCGAAACCCTCCCAAGGTACATCTGCATCTTCCAAACTGCATCTTCGAACAACCCCCCCCCCAG